GGGGCTGGCTATCTAATGTGCCCTGAAGGTGGGAGTGCCATGAAGAGCATCATTATCTCCATTTTTCAGATGAGAAAATAGAAGCCAAGTGTAGCTGAGAACTGAGCTCAGTTTGAACAAGACAGAAACATTCATGCTCGTGGGAGGAGACGGCACAGGCAGTCCAGGGCAGGGTGGCTGTGAGTTCTGGGGGGATGCCAGGCCACGGTGTCTGAGGTGGAGTGGTCTTGGCAGCCTCTGTGGGCCTTGAAGTCCTTGTGCAGGAGGGAGCTGGGGCCGCTTCATACAGCCTCCGCCTTCCAAACTGGAGGCTGAAGCTGCGTAGTGCAGGGGTCCCAGCTGCCCAGCATCTGGACCAGGAAGGATATCGCAGCCCCTGAGCGGCTCCCATCTGGAAGGCTGGGGCCCAATCAACCTTTCTTCAGCTGTTCTGCCCACTGATTAACCAGGAAATATGTTATTTGTTCTGAGCAAGGGAACAAGCTCTCCTGGGGAGAGGAATTCGGGGCTGGAGGTCCAGTCACTTCCAAAGAAGAAAAATCCCTGGAATTCTGTCAGGAGTCTGGGTCTCAACAAAAGAAACAGAAATGCAGTCCTTGCTTTCGGTCCTTATTTACCAAACTAGTTCAGGTTCTGGTAGCTTTCTGGCCGCCAGCATTATTCCAGGAAGACATGAGAAAGCAATTAGGTTGCCCTGGGTGTCCAGCCGACTGCCATGCCCGCACGTGGTACACGTGTCCTGGCAAACCTTTCCCCACTGCAATGTTTTTATCAACCCCTTGGGAGTGTCTCTGCAGGGCTTTCCAGAGATTTCCCTCCCCAGACCCAAGAGATGGGTGAGTAGGCTTAGCAGCCTTCTGTGCCTCATTAGGGGGGAAACTGGGATCAGGAGGTAAGGAAGTGACACATGGTGAGTCAAGGGCCATGCTGGAATCAGTGAGTTCCCTTCTTTTACTGGGCAGGGAGGGTAGAGGGGGACAGAAAGTTCTGATAACTCCATGTCCCCAGGGGCTTGAGTTGGGGGCTAGCAGGCACGGAAAACGGCATTGTGAATGTGCAGTAGAGGTATTTGGGTGGTGACAGCAGTAGAGGTGGTTGGGAAAGATGTCACTTTGGTTGTGAGGAGGGCTATAGGGTCATAAGCCCACAGAGTAAGGCAAGATGGTGCAGTCTTAAAAACTTGGGCTCAGGGGGAATTGACCAAAGCTTGAATCCTGCATCTGCTGCTTATCAGCTGTGTGATCTTGGGCAAGCCAGTAACTTTCCCAGCCTCAGTTTCCTCCTTTGTGTATGTGGAAATAATAATGCCTCCTTTATTCGGTTAAATGGGCCAATTTATGTAGCACACTTCTTAGCACAGTGCTTGAACCATAGTGAGTCCCATAAATTTTGGCAGCTTAAGAAAAAGAAAAACCTCAAGAGTTTATAGGATTGGAGATCCAAAGAGCTGCACCAACAGATCCCAAAAGTTACAGGGAAAGGGAGTGATGGGCAGTAAGTGGGAGCAGGATAACAGGATAGCGCTGGGATGGGGAGTAGGAGGTGCAGTCTTCAAAGTAGATCAGCCAGGTCGTGGGCTCCCAGGACAACAGGGTGGGAATTTCCAAGGACCACTTGTACTCACCGAGGAGTGGGAGGGGCGCCTTGTGGTGAGGGAAGTGTGTCTGCCTGAGGGTTTTGGCCGAGGCCAAGCGGTGAGAGGCTGAATGGGCGGCAGGCTTCCAGGAGTGCAGACGGAGGAGACGAAGCAGTAATAATGACTTGGACACACGGGAGGAAAAAATAGCTCAGGGACGAAGATGATGCCAAGGTTTCTGGCCTTGGGAGGCTCATGGGGATCTGAGGTGAGCACTGAGGGATGAAGAAGAGAGCTCCTGAAGGAACAGGCAGATAGTTGGGAGAGGACGAGAGCCAGGAACTAAAGAGCTGGGTGGATAACGGGACGAGGAGAGGGAAGCATGGAGCGGAGCCTTTCCCGTAGCTGTGAAGGAGGAGTGTCTCAGTGAGAGAACTGAGCATTCTGGGAATCGAAATGGCATTCATCCCAAAGTGCAAGGCACAGAAATCAAGGAGATTCCTTGAGGCAGTAAGCACATGAATTTGGACCAGTAACTACCACCAGGAACACAGTTTTTCTCTCTTAAAATGGGTCTCATGATACCAGCCCTCCCTACTTCACGGAATTGTTCTTTCATTCATTCATTAGCCATCCATTGAACTCATATTTCTTGGCTGTCTATTAGAGTCAAGCACTGTTCTAGGTTCTGGGGAACCAGAGGCGAGCCAGGCGGACAAGATATGTGATCCTTTAGAGCTATCATTGTGGCTTGGGGAATCAGATAATAATGATTATTTTCATTGTTGAACAGCATTTTTCCCGTGGCCTTCGAATTTCTGCTGAAGACACAGGGTAGAACAATAAGGACTAAAGATTCTCACATTCCAAAGAGAAGTACTACACACTTTACTCGTGGCAGAACAGGTTCAACAGCTATCAAGCCACATCCCTCAATACCAGTGTACATATGAAAGGGATTGAAGGAAGTATTGATGTAGAGACCTGTTGTATTAGTAGGCAGGGCTGAGGTTTCCCCTGAGGGTACTCCCCAATGTAAACCTAGTAAAAGGAGCTCTATGAGAGCCAGTCAGAGAGATTGGGGGCCTCCAAGAAGAGGAGACTAGCATGAGTCCCCATAACTCTCCCTCCACTGATGCTGGCTGAGTTGCTGGAAACTGCAAGCACCCCAAAGCAACAAACCAACGCAAGAAAGTTCTTGGGAAAACCCAACGTATGTCTTTAGAAATTGGGGCTGTATATAGATGAAGAGACTTGTGGGCACTTCCTGTCTGGAGAATTCTGACTGTGGAGCCTGACTGGAGTGGCTTTTGTGGCAGGGTGAGGAACAGCCAACTCACCATTGGTTTGCTGGCATGGATGGAAAAGTCCATGAAGGGATATGGCAGTCTTCAAGAAGCTGGCCAGAGAGTGTTTTGCTACAGCAGTGCAGGGTGGAGGCCCTGCAGAGAGCTTCCCAAGAACCCATAAATGTGCCCATGAAAGAGTCAGCATTTGGCACCTGCCAGCCAAGGGCACCTACCACATAAGACTTGGCCACTTTTCCTCTAACACCTCTCCCCTAAACCTGACACAGAGGAGCCAGAGCAGAAAAGGGAGGTCAGAAAACTAGACCACACTCCACTATAGGCTCTCAAGCCAGGGGATAGTCCCATGGAGGGGCAGGGAGTAGTATTACATTGGATTCACGATTGCTTAAATTGGATGAGGGTTTGATTTGGGCAGGACCAGATTTTTTAGCGCCTGAAAATTGGTCTTAATTATAGAAATAAGACTGTTCTTGTGAGGGAAAGGCAAGCCAAAGACTCTGAGATTGAGAGTGGGGAAAGGAAATTCAACATACTATGGTTGAAGGCAGTAGGGGGAGAAAAATACAGCTGTTTCCTGATTGTCCTAAAGACCTGATGTTTTCAGGTTCAGCCCATCCAATAAACCAGTTATACAAGTAAGCAAATAAATAATTTCAACTAGTCATTAGATCCATGAAGGTAAAACAGGGTATGGGTTAGAGAGGGGTGACTTGGGAGTGAGAGGGCTGCTCTGGATTGGAGTGGAGGTTCAGGGATAGCCACTCCAGGAGGTGATATTTGAGCCAGAGAAGAGAAGTGATAAGGAGCTAGTCCTATAAACATCTTGGAGATAAGTGTGCCAGGGAGAAGGAAGTGTGCATTAGTTTGGCAAGTTCAAGGAGCAGAGAGGAGGCCAGTGCAGCTACAGTACAGTGGCCAGTGCCCCTGCAAGTGGTGAGACGGATCAGAGAGAGGGCCAGTTATACAGGGCTTTGTAGGACAAGGTCAGGAGTTGAGGCTGTATTCCAACATTAGATATTAACTGTGCCTGTCCTTTGTGTAGTGTGAGAAGTTGTAAACTTTGTGCCTTCTGCCTGCGCCATCTCTCTAGGAAACAGTAGGTTACAGAAATGCACCAGAGGCAGCCATGGTGCCCAAGTCTATAGGCTTTAGGGCAGGGGTCCATGGGTGTGAATGATGAGCTGATTGTTGGGGGTACTCAGATGAGTGGCAGTTGGCATTCTTGCACCCCCTATCTCCTCACTGCCAACACACAATGTGAGCACCCGATCAATCAGAGGCAAATCGAATCCCCCTTGTGGAAATTCCTGAGGGAGTGATGGACCTCTGAGCCCAGGGAAGGATTTCATCTCCCTCTTGGATACACGCTGTCCCCTTGAGTGACCTTATTCCAGCTCCTCCAGGTCTATGCCTGGGTGAAAAAGAAGACACCTTTTCCAGAATCCGCCATCACCGCCTCAGGCAGGACCCTGACGCAACAGGAAGGGGATTAAGATCAGGGAGCGAAGGCGGCTGGCAGCCGCTGGTTTGTCTACAAGCTACAGGATGGCCAAGGACGCGGCCAAGTCCGCTAGAGGGCGCGCGCCCCCCAGGCGACCTTCCAGCGCTCCCGCAACCAGGCGACTTTCCAGAGCTCCCCCGAGCTGTCCCAGCGCTAGCCCGCACGCCAGGCGGAAGCCCCAGTGACCGGGGCGGGAAGCAAAAGGGCTGGACGCCGGTCCCTAGGGTCCTGTCTCTGTCACGCCATTCTTGATACCTCTCTTGGCCTCCTTTCAGACCTTCGAGGCTGCAGACTTGGTCATCCAACCCCGAGTTTGTCCCTGAGGTCGGAGGCGGGAGATATATTCAGGAAAGGTCAGCAGTTCGAGCTTGCCCAGGACAGGAGAAAGGTGGCTCAGATGCCGTTGTCCCGGCAGGCGGCATCTCCGTTACCAGCCCTCGGGTCCATCCTGCGCGGTCCCCAGCTACTCACGGGTTAACCCCCCTCGCCGCCCGCTCGCTTCCCGGTGCCAAAGTGGGTGTTGCTGGAATTCCTCTCTCCCTCTCCAGTAATGAGGGGGCTGAGCTGTCCCTCCGAGGAGGGGGCATGGTGTGGATAAAAGAGACGAAAAAACACAGAGAGGTTTCAAAAAATAAAGCCCTTCGGTTCCCCCTTCAGAAGGCTACAGCTACGCGGAGAAGGCGCGAAGGTGTAGCGGCGGTGCGCTCCCAGCTGGAGACCCAGCGTGGACCCCAGACGCAGGGCGCGCAGCGCCGGGTGGCTCCCGCCGTCCAGTCCTCAACCCGGGGAGAGCCTGGCCCACAGTCTGTCTGACTCGGGGCCCCCTAGACCAGGAGAAGCGGGCCGCCAGGAGGGGACCCGAGGGCAGCCTGCAGGTCGCCTCGCGCACCAACTACCCTCCCCCCACCCACACACACACACGCTGTTCCCCACGCGCACTGCTCTCCAGAGGCCCCCAGCGCCATGAAGCTGCTGACCACCACCGCCTACCCTGGGCGCTCCCTGCGGAACCCCTGGAGGAGCTTCCTGCCTCTCACCCTGGCTCTCTTCATGAGCATGGGTCATGCTCAGAGGGATCGGGTGGGAAGATATGAGCTGGCTGGCAGGGACTTGAATCGGCTGTGGCGTCCCGGGGGTAGTCACCCTTCAGCGGCTGCAGCCAAGGTGTACAGCCTGTTCCGAGAGCAGGACGCGCCCGTCCCGGGCTCACCGCCCGCGGAGCAGACCCAACCCGGCTGGGGGAGCCCCAGGAGGCCCGGCAAGGCGGAGGCCAGGAGGCCGCCCCGCGCGCAGCAGCTGCGGCGAGTCCAGCCACCTGCGCAGACCTGGAGAAGCAATCCGCTGGGCCAGCAGCAGCCTGCACCCCGGACCAGGGCCGTCCCGGCTCTCCCGCGCCGCGGGACCCTGCAGCGACCCCGGGCTGCGCCCCCAACCTCGCCACGAGGGCGGCTCACGGGGTGAGCAGTGGGGAGGGAAGCACGGGGGCTGGGGGAAGCGAGGGCTGGGGCTGGAGTTGTGCACTCCTTACTGGAGGGATGTGCAGGCGAGAGGAGGGTGCTGGGCTCTGCCCTTCCTCCCTCTGGCCTCCGTACTGCAGGGAAACAGTACCGAACCCACTTCCAAAGAGTTTAGGAGGAGAAACAACATCCTCGCCCTTGCATACCAGCTTTCCAAGACCCGACGTTAAATCCTTTCCTAACGCGCCTCTGCATTCGCCCGCCCTCAGCTAACCGGTGCCCGCAGTCGCCGGCTGTGCTGCTAGGGTCCGAGAAGGAGGCGGGAGGGGACAGCAGGGTGGGCGTTCCGGGCGCTTGAGGCCCAGGGGAGGTTGAGTGGGCGCAGCGGGCGGGTAGGTGGAGGATGCTGGAGGCTCCAAAGTGCGAAGGCAGATGCATCTCTGGGACGGGGGCTGGCAGCGAAGCCTGTACATGGGGACAAATGTTTGGGCTGGGGCGCAGGTTGGCCTGGGCACATGGATGGCTGAATGTGGGAATGGGCGCAGGTAGGCTTGAGGGCACTTTGGGCTGGAAGCTTGCCCCCGGTGTGGCTGCGGCACAGTGGTTACATGGGGGAGTGGATCTGTGTGTCCGTCTGTGCAGCTAGATGCCAGCGTGACTGGCACACTCTGCAGGACTAAGCCTCTCCCCAACCCTGCAATTTATTGTTTTTCCCTCTCCGGGGGCAACAGCCGCTGCCCCGCTGAGGCACCCTCGCAGCGTGAGCAGGCTCCCCCAGGGCCGCCAATTCCCCAGTCGGGGATCATCCTGGCTGCAGGGCGCTCAGCCTTGCCTTGGGTATGTCAGGTGGGTCCAGCAGGAAGGACACCGGAGCCCCAGGCAGTGCAGGGCTGGGTGAGGGTACCATCCGGGAGGCTGGAAAGGAACTGGCAGCGCTCTTGGCCGGGGTCTGATTTACCAATATGGTTTAATCCTGGTGCACACCAGTTCTACTCCCCAGGACGCTCTTACTGCCTTTCCATTCCCTGTTTTCCTTGGCTGCAGCATGCTTCTCCCACACTCAGCAGGACTCACTGCTTCATTCAGATCTCTGCTCAGAGCGGCCTTCTCAGCTACTCCTGCCCCACTCTCTTTCTCCCTTCACCCTGCTTTATGCTTCTTCATAGCACTATTCCCATCTGACATATTATATTCCCATTTCTGTTTCTGTGTTTATGGTCTGGTCTCCCAGCACACCCTAATGTAAGTTCTCTGAAAACAGAGGCCGTGTTTTGTCCATTGCTGTGTTCCCAGTGCCTAGAAGAGTGCCTGCAAATAGGTGATGCGCATTAAGTAACTGTTGAATGAGTGAATGAACTCCCTGCTGTCCACAGAAGGTCCAGCTTAAAGCAGGCGGAGAGTAGACCCATGCGCAGCCAAGTCGCTTACACATAGAATCAGCAAACAAGTGTTCGTGGAGCACCTGCCATGTCTCACGTTTTTCCTTTCCTGGCCCGTGCAAATGACTACATGCTTCTTAAGAGCAAGTGTGCAGAGCATGCAATAGTGGATGGGTCCCAGAGCCAAAGGCATTGTTCCTGCCAGGAGAACAACTCAATCACTTAAAACCGAGTTGGAGAAGTGGACAGTTATGTGCCAGTGAATGTGCTTTCTAGTACCAGAAGCTTCATGTTAAGCATAAAGGAATGGGACAGCTGTGGCTGAAGAGCTCAGAGGAGAAGGAGGTCCTGTGAGCTGGACCCCCTGGCATTCAATGGGCAGCATGTGAGGAAGCGGGGGATGGGGGGGTGTGGCAGGAGTGAGGTCTGGAGGTATAGCACTGCCCAAAGAGGAGAGCTTCTCACTGTTGGCATTGACCTGGGGCAGGACTGCACCTGTGTGTAGGGAAGCCATGGGGGTGATGTTGGAGGCATAGATTAGGCCAGATCGTGGAGGAGCTTAAACCACAGGCCTTTCAGTGGGGATTGGGGGAAGGTGGGACAGCAGAGGGTGGGGGTGGCAGAAAGCACTATTAGAAGTCGTGAAACGAGGTGGTGATAAGCAAAGCAGATTGTCATTGCAATAAGGCTGGTATATGTGCACAAGTGTGTAAGGACATGAGCTGGGTGCCACCCACAAGCACCTGCCATACACAGGTGCACACATCATATCACATGCTGGATTTGGCTCCTTCCCCAGATTTTTTTATTTTCTGCAACTTTGATAAAGGGCAGGTTCCTCTGGCACTCCAGCAAGCCACTCCAAGTCAGCTGGGAAGGGGCTGACTGGCAATCTTGTTAATGGGTTTCCTCTACCCAGGTCCATTCTGGCTAATGGCTCTAGGCCAGGCTGACCTCTTTGGCAATAGTCTTGTGGGTTGCTCAGGGCCAAGGACCAAGTGCCACCTGCTGGTGAAGTTTGGAATTACATAATCACTGCTGGGGAGTCTATTGTCTATTCATTCAACAAGTAATTTGGAAGGCCTCCTATAATGCCAGGCACTCCTGGAGCGTGGGGATATGTTGTAGCAGTGGTCAACACAGCCTCTGTCCACATGGAACTGGCAATGTAGTGGGAACTTATTGCCCACAATGAACCAGAGCAGACACAGTTCCTGCACTAATGAAATTTACAGTCTATCGGGGACTTTTTAAGCCATTGTTTCACAATATTCAGGGTTTTTTGAACTAGCCTCAAAGCATACCACCTTTACAACATTTTCCTCTGTCTTTTCGCTCTTGCTGTATTTTTGTTCTTTAAACTTATGTACTGTTAAATTAACAGGATTCTGTGTTTTATTTAAAGTGTTTTATATTATGAAGTTTTGTACAAACATACAAAATGTATTGGATATAATATAACTCACAACCGAGTTTTATCAAACCTTAATATTTTGGCATGTTTTGCTTCTGATTTCTTTAGCTGAGATTTCCTCTATAAATTTGCCTCCTTTTCTCCCCAAAGCCAGCCACTACCCTAAATTTACTTATGATTCCAAAGTATGTTTATATACTATTACTACAGATGCATGCATCCATAAAATACATAATTTGTTTTGCATATTTTGAACATAGATAAGTGATACCATACTGTATTATCCTTTTTTACAAGTCATCTTTCCTCCTCCTCATTAGATTTTTGAGATTTAACCATGTTAATATAATTAGCCCAAGTTTATTCATTTAAACTGTTGTATATTATTCCACTGCCTGAATATACCACAGTTTATTTTTTCACCCTCCTGTTTTTGGACATTTAGATGAGTTACTTTTTTTGTTGTTGTTCTTACAAACAGAGCTTGACTCATTTTTCTACATAAATAAATTCATATTCAAGGAAACTTTGTATCACTATCATAAGTTGAAAAGAGAACTACTAGTCATGAAGAGAAGATAGCTGTAGAAAAATTGAAATGAAAACAAAATGTTCTCAAATTCTAGTCACACACCGTTATCTGAGGAAACTCAGTCCTGTGGTGTGTTCTCCCTATTGAAAACGGGGGCTGGCAAGTGTTGGGGGAAGGACCTGGCTTGAAGACTCAACCTCAGACAGATTCTTTTGACTGATCTAATAAAGCTAGAAATGAGAATCACTTTCTCACCATGTGACTCAGCATTGTTGAATGCTGTGATTGTGAAAACTTAAAACCCACTTTCCTGCCCTCAGTGTTACTCATCCACTTTTTGGGAAGCTCTGGATTAAATGAAACAAAGAAGTATTAAGAATATCCCATGTGTGAGGCACTGTGTTAGACTCTAGGGGCACAAAGAGGGGTATGAAAGAATTCTCAAAACAAAGAACAAGTGCTGGTGAGAATGTGGAGAAAAGGGAACCCTCGTGTGCTGTTGGTGGGATTGCAAATTGGTGCAACCACTACGGAAAACAGTATGGAGGTTCCTTAAAAAATTAAAAATAGAACTACCTTATGACCTATAAATTCTACTCCTGGGTATTTATCCAAAGAAATCCGAAACACTAATTCAAAAAATATATATGCACCCCTATGTTTACTGCAGCATGATTCACAGTAGTCAAGATGTGGAAACAACCAAAATGCCCTTCAATAGATGATTGGATAAAGAAATTATGGTAGATTTATACAATGGAGTATTACTTGGCCATAAAAAAGAATGAAATCTTACCATTTGCAACAACATGGATGAACCTAGAGGATATTATGCTAAGTGAAATAAATCAGACTGAGAAAGGCAAATACCATATGATCTCACTTACATGTGGAATCTAAAGAACAGAATAAACAAGCAAACAAAATAGAAATAGACTCATAGATACAGAGAACAAACTGATGGTTGCCAGATGGGAGGGGTGTTGGGGGATGGGTGAGAAGGTGAAGGGATTAAGAAGTACAAATTAGTAGTCACAAAATAGTTAAAGGGATATGAAATACAGTATGGGGAATATAGTCAATAATGTTGTAAAGACTATGTAGGGTGTCAGATTGCTACTAGACTTATGGGGGGGATCACTTCATAGATTATATAAATGCCTAACCACTGCACTGTACCCTTAAACTAATATAAAATATTTCAAATATATATATATATATATATATCAAAATCAAATATATATACATATATCATATATATATTCATGGGATGTAAAGTACAGCATAGGGAATATAGTCAATGGTGTTGTAATAGCTGTGTACGATGTCAGAGGGGTAGTAGACTTGTTAGGGTTATCGCTTTGTGAGGGGTGTAAATGTTTAATCATTATGTTGTTTTGTACACCTGAAATTCATTAAAAAAAAAAAGAACCCTTAAGATAGTCAAGACAGAGACCCATACAGCCAACAAGCTGAGACACTCAGGAGATGGAGAATGGGGAAGCCTAGATAGTAGATGTTAGGGGAGATTTTACACAAAGTAGGCAACATTTGATCTATAAGTCTTGGAGTATGCAAAAGATTTTGATCATCTAGGAAGAGAGGGAAGGTATTCTAGGCAGACAGCAGCTTAAGCAAAGGCATTAAAATGTGACCGTATAGAGTGCACCTAGGGGATGACAAACTTTGTATCCTTGGAAGATCACAGCCTTGGTTGTAGATGGTCATGGAGATGAGGGCTGGAGTGGTGGAGACAGACTACACAGGCAGGTGAGGCCCTGGTTAGCTTTGTAGAGGCCAATGGAGAGCCATGGGAGGTTTTGAACAAAGGATCAGTATGATCAGATTTGTCCCAGGTGGAACAGCAACTATCCCAGGCTGTTAGCCAGAAGTGTCCTCAAGGATTGGGCAATGATGCTGCATATTGGGCTAATGTTTGCTAAGTGGCGTCACCTGAAAATTTGGGTTCATATGATCTCTGAGTGGTACCAGGAAGTCAGAACTACTGAGTCATATACTCCAGCTAGTCAGGCTCATTTACTCTTGCCGGCTAGCCAGAGCCCACTGAATGGTCATCTCCCATCTGGCCACCTCCCTGGGCTTCTTTCCAAGACTCTAATATTGGCCTAGAAAGGATCCTCAGAGGCCCTCATTGAGAACCTGAGTCCCTCGTGAGTGCCCTTCAGGCCCAGCCTGGCCCCCACCTAGCCCCACTGCCTGGCAGCCTTTGATTCTGCCCAGCCCTCACTGCCCTGAGAGCTCCACTATTGGCAGGCAACACAGGCCTAGCTACTGCCCTCTTCCTACAGACAGCTACAAAACCATCCTAAAGACATCTGGGGTGACAACGGCTCAGGGGGCCTCCTTGCGCTGGGCTCCATGCAATGCTCACCCAGGCAGGCGGGCCCTTCAGGTCCTAGAAAACTCCCAGGGCATGCACTCTGTTTTCTTTCAAAGACTTCTCAGGCCTCTGAGAGGCCTTGTCACCACCACAAGGGTAGTGACTTGCAAATGGGTGAGTAGTTGCCCCTTCCACCAGGGCACGCACTCAGAAACCCTGGGTATGAGGACCAGTCCCTCCGCAGAACCGAGGGCTTGGGCCCTGATGAAAAGGAGCCCGTCATGGCACCGAGAAGCTGCTGAAAGCAGCAGCCCAAGGGGCTTCAAGGTGGCTGGAATGGCACAGCCCTTGGCTGGGAAGACATTCTGGGAGCTCCCTGGGAGGCAGCTCCCCTCAATATTGGGCCAAAGGGTCAGGAATGACCCTAAGCTTTTTCAAGCTGCAGGAATTTATTTTGAATGTTTTGTAAGGCTCCCAAACCACACAAGCTTTGGGGTCCACTCAAATGTCAAACAAATTCCTAAGTGGGACCAAATGCTCACTATGCTGGCCACTGGGGTGCAGGAATGGCCCCCTGCTCTGTTCTTCTCCCTGACTCGCCTTCTCCATATCTTGGCCACCCCGCTCACCCTGAGTTTCAGTGAGTGCTCAGTAGATAATCTCTGATGCTAATGATGGGGTCCATGAGACCAGAACCAGGCTCAGCCTGAGCCAAGGAGTCAGGCCCCCCGAGGTCTTTGCCAGGAAGAGCCCTTCTAGGGAAGTCACCCAGCTCCAGGCACTTGGGTCTTTAGATTGAGAGTCAGGGCTGGTGACACCTGCTGGTGCTGCAGGGGACCTCACCAGACACCTGAAAGGAGAGTTTGGGTGAGTTGGGTGAGGGCCCCAGCTGTTACCACAGGTCAGTGTCTGTTGTGGGTGCCAGCACTGGAGTAGACAGGAGAAGGACTGTCTCCCAGAAAGTAAGTTCCATCAGCCTGCCAAAGTTAAAACAGTGCGCTCCTTATGCAGAGGTGGCTTAACCTAAGCCCCCAGCCCTATCTTCCTACTAGCTTCCTACTATCCCTCTTAAATAGAAAGACTACTCAGTCTCACCACACACCAGCCCACCCAAGGGCTAAGCCTCCTCTCGGTGTGCATTTGTTGGCAGGTGATACATATGTGTGTCCTTAAGACAGTTTTGTGTGTCTTCCAGCTTCCCTTGGAATGTCAGTGTTTGTTGGGCAAGAACCATGGTGTTTATCTTTTAGTGAGAAGCAATGTAAAGTTGGAGCATTAGGGTGGGAACAGCTCAAGTTTAAATCTGACCCTGGCACTCAGTGTTTAGCCTTGGCAAGTGACTAAACCTCTCTGAACTTGCTTTTTGATCATCTTCATGTTCACTGTCATTATTGTCCTCGTGGAGTGCCCTCTTGTGTCAGGTGCTCTATTTCCCTGTCTCGTTTCATCATCACAACAACCCAGTTAGGCAGGTATTCTCTCCTGTATTGTACCAATGGAGAGAGTGAGGTTTCCCCAGGTCATGCAGAGAATGGCAGAGTCAGGATTCCATGTTAGATTTGCAGGGTCCCCAAGGACCTGGCCCAGGCCGTGCAGCCTCCGTAGATAAGGGGGGCAGCCTGCCCAGCCTGGCGGCATCCTCCTAGGCTTGGCCTATAAGACAGCGGGACCATTCAGAGAGGCCCTGGGGATAGTCCTGCTCTGAGCATCCTTATGCCTGACCCTGTTTGGGTGACTCCACAGGAGGAACGTCTGCGGGGGACAGTGCTGCCCGGGATGGACAACGGCAAACAGCACCAACCACTGTATCAAACGTGAGTGCCTCCACCCCACCTACCCTTCTCCTTCTCTCTCCTTCAAAGTGGGCTGGGCCTGGGGACTTCAGGACCTGGAGCAGCAATGTCTTCCCCAATCTGCCTCCTGAGGACGCAGCTCCTCTCCGGGGTGGAGGCAACGTGCTGTAGAAGGGAAGAGATTTAAAAATGCCTCCAACTGAAAGCAACTTCTCAAATAAAATCACCACTTCTGTATTTAAAGCTCCTTGCATTCCCTTCCTGCTGCCCCACTGTGCTGGCACCCCACTTGTTCTGCCTGCAGGGTCCCTTAGGTGTCCATACAGTCCTGTGGACTGTGGAATGTGGCTGGCCCCAGAGCCTCAGCGTCGCACATTGCCAGGGGCACCGTTTGCCGTGTGTGCTGTGGGAATCCACCTCTGTGCTAGCCCCGGCCCCACTGGTCCCGGCCGCTGTCAGGCTTCCTGACGGGACAATCAGATGAGCCTCTGCTCCCATGTCTGGCGCAGACTTCTGTGGACTGCTCTAAGCCTGGCTGGCTGGCCCAGATGAAAGAAAAGAGAGAATACTCATCTTAGTTACGTGGAAACCAAGAAGCGAGGCAGGAGGAGCCGGGGGCTCTGTGCCCAAGCCTCCACTGGTGGTGTCGGAGGCAGTCACAATGACAAGAGCCAATATCCACACGATACTCGCTTTACGCAAGGTGCACGTACATAGCCTATTTGGCAGATGAGGAAACTGAGGCATAGACAGGTTACTTGCTCAAGGTCACATGACCTGGAAATGGCAGGATTTGAACTCAGGTAACCTGACTCCAGGGTCCCTCTTTTTAATCACTATACCCTGCTGTCAGGTACCTTACTTCCTGGGCCTCGCTTTCTACACCTGTGAACTGGGGATGGCAGTGTACTACTACTATCATTAGTACTACTACTACTACTACCACCACCACCACTAGCAGTAGTAGTCTCACCGTTACTGCTACTAATACCACCATCACTACCTCTAGCATTACTACTGCTACTGCTAGTACCATTACTGCTGCTGTTACTACTACTACTACTACTACTACTACTACTACTACTACACTACTAGCTAACAGCCGAGGAGTCACTATGTGCCCAACACTGTGCTAAGCTCTTCACATACATATCTTAGTTAAGGCTCTCAATAATCCTATAACATGAGTATTCACTGATCGTCCCCACTTACAGACGAGGAAGCTGAGGCTTGTGTTAGTTGGGAAACACGGCCAAGGATATTCTACCCCCAGTGCTGGAGCGGGGCTGGACCCAGGCAGTCTGACTCCAGAGCCCCGTACTCTTCTCTACGAGCCTTTGCTCTCTTCCAGCACCAGCTGAGGCTGGGCCTTCTGGAGTTTGGAATCTCCACAGGTGATAACAGATATGGGGGTTTTAGGGAGCCCCTTGGACCTTTCTCTCTCACACCCAGGGCTGCTTTTTAGCCCTTGTCTGCTCTCAGTTATGTACGACAGCTCCAAGTGCTCCCCTGACTGTCCCTCCTGGAACTGCCACTACCTTCTGCCTGGCTGCAAAGCCTAGGTCTCACCAGCACCCCTTCCTGCCCAAGGACAAGCCCCCAAGGCCCTTTGCAGTGTGAGGGTTTCCAGGTGCATGACAAAACCTATGGTGTTCTCAGCCCTGATGGAGGCCCTCATCTCTGGCTCTGATGCCTCCCGAGACGGGGACGAGACGGGGACGAGACGGGGACGAGACGGGGACGAGACGGGGACGAGATGGGGATGAGATGGGGACGAGACGGGGCTGCTGCCATTCCTGCGGCGATGGGAATGTCGGCTTACCAAGCTCTTGGCTCTGCCTCAGACCTCATGGCCCTGACTTTTCCCAGGGTGACAATGAAGCTCAGGCAGAATCTTGGGTCTCTCTAAAGATCTCCAGTTAAAGAAATCAAAATCCCAAACTAAAAAACAAACAGCAAAGCAGATCGACTGCCTGAAAATTCTTTCCTTTTCAGGAACCCTGGATTAGTGGGGGCTTTCAGAGGACAGGCCCTCTTTGGCTGGGGTAAGAGTGGGGGAGGGACATCTCATAGTTTTAAAGATGAAGACAATGAACCTCAGAGAGGTAGTGACTTGCTCGAGGTCACACAGCTCACTAGAGGAGGATCTGGGACTCAAAATCAGCGACTCCCCTGGGCAAGAGAAGCCAGGGATGTGGGTAGTCAGGTGGTTTTATGTGCAACAGGAGCTCTGAGGCTGGGATCTTTTTTAAAGCACCATAGATGATTTTAGCCAGAGCTGAAGACACTGAACAGTTTGGAGTCAGTCATAGGAAGATCTGCCCTGGGGGAGGCCCTACTCAAATTTGAATGTTCCCCTGAATCCTCTGGGATTTTATTAAAGTGCAGATTCTGATTCAGCAGGTCTGGGATGGGACTGGACAGTTTCTGCTTCTAACAAGCTCCCAGAGGATGCTGTCCCTGCTGGTTCAGGGACCACAGTTTGAGTAGCAGGGCCTTGGGAGACTCTGGAGGCATGGAAAGAGATCGGGAAGGGAGTTGGTAAGTTCTAGCGAGCTTAGCAGGGTATTGCTGAGGTTTGAATTGAAGCTGGAACAGGGTGGCTTCAGAGAGGGTGGGCTTCTCACCAGCTGCCCAAGGAGTCTGGGCACAGGTCTCACTTCTCCGCTTCCTAACTTGCACGTGATTTTGCAGCGTTAGTCTCTGCCAAACTGGAGTTTCGACACTGGAAACTTGAGGTTGGGTGAATCTGCAGATTGTCCGAACCAACGTGTGTGTGTGTGTATGTGCATTCTAGTGCCCTAGCGTGGGGCTGCCAATACCCACGCCACCCTGGGGGTCCTCAGCCCCTGTTATGTTTCTCTCTGGCCCTCTCACCCTGCTGCTCCCCTGCTTGTCCCCTGACCCACGCACACACGCATGCAGACTGGCAGCTCTCCTGGAGGAATTGCCAGTGGGAGTCAGTCTTTTCCACTTGAAGTCAGTTTGCCCACTGAAGGTCTGTGTACTAATTAGCTGGGCCCTGTGCTGTTCGCTTGTTGCTGTCTTGCTACTAATGAGCCTAACAAGAACCACGTGGGCGGTGGGGCGTTGGCCCTGGCTGTCTGGGTCCCGAGATCTGTAGAATGTGGGACTCTTGGCTCTGCGTCATGTCAGCTGGCTCTCCTGCTCCCCCTAATGGTTTGTCTTCCCCTCTCCCCTCCCCGCAGCTGCCCTCCTGGCTGGAGCCAAGGCTGGCACTGACCGGGAGTGCTCAGGACTCTGTCCTAGCAGTTTCACACATGTGGGGTGACTCCTCGGCCAGCAGGAGAGGAGGGCTGACAAGGACGGGTGTGTGACATCCTCCCATTGCCAAGAATGAAGTCTAGTCCCAGAGCTGTGTAGAGACTCAGTCCATCCCCTGGTCTCTCCAGATATCTGTGGGTCCAACGCACCTCCCGTTCTCAGGAAGAGATGGCTCTTGCCTCTGGACCACCCCCCGGCCTCCTCTCGCCTCCTGTCCCAGAATTCTAGGTTGCTGTGACACACCAAACCATCTTCCTGGCAGGCCCCTTCCTTCACCGCTGCCCAGTCACTGGACCTCGGGGAGCCACTGTGTCCACAGCTGGCTATCATTGGAGCCACAGCTCCTCCCGCCGCCTTGGCAGGGTCTCGAGCTGGGCCCTCGTCTCCTCCTCTCGTCTTGGTATCTGCCTTTCCTTCTGTGGCTTTGCCAGCTCTGCCACACCATTTATGTGTTTATGCATTTGTGGAGGCAGCGGACTGGGGCCTGCCCGGCCCACTCAGCCGAGGAGGACTGTAGAGTGTGGGGTGACGGGGTCCTGTTTACAGTTAGGGCTTTTGGAAGACTCTAGTCTTTCCAGACTGGCTCGCCCCCATCACCATCCCAACACATACACACAGAGATTTGGGTGCTTCTGAGGCTCACGCTGGAGAAGATGATTTGAATTCTTTGAATTTATCTCAGCCTAACTGCACAGGGACTGAGGCTGTCCTGGAGAGGGCAGAGGGAGTCTCTACAGCTGTTGGGGAGGGGGATAGGTGGATTACAGTCCTCCCATCCCCAGCAGTAAGGCTCAAGGTTAAGAGCATATGCTTTGGATTCCAGTGACAGATCCAAGGAGTCATGGGCTTGAATCCCAGCTCTGTGTCCTCAGAAGTGACTGGCCCTCTTCTAGGCATACAGTGGGTATGCTTCTCATCCATACAGTAGGTATAACAATCTATATAGAGTTGTTTGTGAGGATTAACAAAGATAATAGTAGCTCTTACTGTGGGTCAGGACTTTATCAATTTTTAATCCTCACAACCACATTATAAATTAGATTTGATCTTTATTCTACTTACAGATGAGGGTAACTATTTGTCCCAGTCCTGTAGCAGAGCCTGGAAGTTTGGCTGTTGTCTTACTCTAGATCCAGAAGACGGTATGGCTTGCCTGGGTTTAAGTGCCTAACTACGTGGCTATGGGCAAGATGCTTAAGCTCTCTGTGCCTCAGTTTCCTCTCCTGGAAAATGTGGCTAATCTTAGTTTCTGCCTCACAGAGTTGCAAGGAACAAATGAGATGATGCTAAATGTTCGACTACAGACCTGGCATGTTCTGGGTGCTCTATCCATGTCTGGCTTTGATGTTGAGAGCAGGGACTGTATCTCCCGGCCCCCAGCATGCTGCACAGTAGCAAGTGTTCACCGGACACAAGGTGAAAGGCTCAATAAGTGTGTACTGAATAACATGGGGCTTGTCCCAGGTTTGTGCTGAGACGTTCCCTTCTGCAGCCCCAGGTCTATCAGTCCTGCCAGGAAGCTCCCTACAGCGTTCAGGAGACCCTCAGGAGACCCTGGAGTGGGCCTGGGCATTTGCTCCTGCGTAGCTTTCATTCTGGTTCACATCTCAGGCTACGAGCACTCCACCCCTCCTGATCTGGCCTTTTCCTTGGCTTCTCCGAGGGAGCTTCCCTGGACCACTTCATCCCAGCTGTGTAATGACCCCATCCCAAAGGGCAAGACTATGGCCAGGTGT